CATGCAAACTGTGAAGCCGCTGTGTTTTATTAGTACTCCCTCTGATTCATAATAAGTGTCAGCAGGTTTGAATTAAAGTTACACTTATTTTGGATCAGGGGGAGTAACAAGTAAATGTTTAGTTTGGTGGAAAGAAACATGCACTGTTGCGGCAGTATCAAAAATGGATTAAAAAAAGTACCCAAGAGATATTTCTTCGATGAAAGGAAGTAAAATATATAGTAGAATCAAATGGAAAAATAGTACTATAAATGGTTCAATGAAATTACCGAACCAATAGATGGTAGCGTTGAGCTTGTGTGGTTCAAGACCTCGTCAGGGGAATGATTTGTAAAGCCAGCATCTTGATTGGCATGTGAGATCAACACTTGATTTGAACCTGGCAAATTATTGTCACAACCTATATCTTCTTCCATTACTACTTCTTGAGCCACTAGTTCAGTTTTCACAGGGGATTCATGTTTGTCGCTGCTAAGGGTAAGTTGGGTCCCTCCAGTAACTATCAACTTGTCAGCACAACCTATTTCTTCTTCCATCAAAACTTCTTCCCTCTCTTCATTTTCTACCTGGGCTTTAAATTCTGCCCCTCTAGGAACTGGTGGTAACATGTCACCACGACCTATATTGTCTTCCACAGCCATTTCTTCTACCTCTGCATTTTCTGTTGGAGCTTCAAGTTGAGCCTCTCTAGAAACATCCCCAAGTTGTTGTGAATATATTTTAGGGTACTCTGATGGAGTGGAATTTAGATCCACAAAAAGATTAAGTCCCTTGTCCGACTGCACGGTTATTTCGAAGGTAGGTGTCACACAATGTCCTGGTATTTCATCATATGTGACAAAAGATTAATTTATATGCAATATTTTCATTAGAATTATATTCATAGTTGCAACATGATAGTAAGAAAGATACCTCTTGGAACTGTAGTGTGATTTGTTTCCAAGGAAGCCATATCACTTACGTTTGACATTCTGCTGCGAGTGTTAATCCCAACTTTAGGAGAAACCACAATGTTGTCGGATTTCTTCTGACGAGCAGTCATCGAGGAGGTTTTCTTCCAAATATTGCGAGAAATCCTGCTCCAGACTACCAAACTACAGTCAGAATATGTGCTTTGAATATGTTGGAACAGTAATGCCTCTTGAATTCATAAGAAATGGCATCACGTACTCATTCTTTTGATTCAAAGAAATGGTCAAACAGAAAAGGATAAAAAAATCTTGGATCTCGATTATAAAGCCTATAGGAATTTTGCAATCCAAGTGGACATCTTCACAAAACTCTTGCACATAAAAAATGAGATGAAAGTTTTTGTCACATGATGACATCCTTATTATATAAGGTAAAAAACACAAGATAGGTAGTTTAACTCGCACAACCACAAATTACTTCTATGTACAGTAAACTCCTTTGAATTGCTTAATGCGCACCCCCGGTATATTGTGGGGAACATGCTAACAAATTTCCCACTACACTTAGAGGAATGTAAATAAGAAGCTTGAAACTTGGAACAATATTCACATATGCATGCCACTCTATTGTGCCCCAAATGGCCAGCATATGATTTCAAATATAGGCTTTATTGACAATGAACTACCTAAAATTAGAATGTGGATGCATCACAATTTTTTCTTACCATTAAGCGGATACTGGTATGTACTTCCATGTGTTTATACGAAATAATTATCAATAGAAATCATATGGATCATGGCAAAGTATGAAGACACCAAATGGCCACGACATATATGTTGTGTGAAAACGTCTATAAATCTACTGACATGTATTTTGTTTAAGTGTTCACAAAAATTATAAGAATGCAGCAATTTTATCATTTACCATGGAACTCGAGCAAACAAGAATAACAAATACCATATGGAAATAAAAGGTCAGAATAGAGAACCATCAACTTTAGCCACTACATACACAACCAATCTTTGGACTGCTAAATCTAGGAGCACAACTCCGAAGAAACAAGATGGCAATGGCAAGACTTAACAAATGGAACTTTCTTGTGATTATCACATCCTTGAGAGTTCACTACCAAATCGAGAACACGCCGCTATAACTTCAACTCTTGCTATGGTTCCTATCTACTATAGTCAGGATAGATTGTACGAGAGATTCTAAGACCTTTTACAAGGGATGTAGGAACTATATATGACTTGTTAGATTGAAGACATGTATGGTTGTGGATCCCCAAATATCTAGAACCTAACATAGTGAGTGTTGATGAATCCAAGAGTAGAGTTAGATGTTTTTTGACTGCTGGTAGAGGGTTAGATGTGTACTAAGGTGTGGTTGTGGGAAACACTACACATGGTAGTAATGTAATAGTTTTTACTATATTGTTTTATACATACCAATATGAAGGTATTTTGAAAATTATACTAAAATCCATGGACTCACATGCATTTTATTCATTTAACTCACTTTAAAAAATCTTAGATATGGTATATGAATATACATAGAATGATAAAATAATATATATACTACCACATGCTAGTATATAAGACATGATGGTAACTACCACCCGGTGGTAGTATATGAGACATGAGAGTAACTACCACAGGGAGGGATTGTGGAGGAGATCCCAAGAGATACACATCCCTTGACATTATTTAATAAAAGAACTGACTTATGGCCATGTGAATCATAGCTGAAAATAGAATCTCGAGAAATCAAAGGCTTCAAAACCCTACGAAGAAATAGAATCACATAGCTCCATCTTAATCCAAACTACCCGGCGCTCAATCAAACTGCTATAAGGTAACACAACAATGAAAGATATATAATGTCCTTACACTTCAAGAAGAGTTGTGGTGGGGCTTCAATGATGGTGGTAGGGATGAATTTGAAAGAAGTACAATATATGATGTAGTTCACTAGTCAGGTAAAAACATGTGGAAAGCCTCATAAGACAAACAAGAATGGAAACAGTGAATTAACAAAAATGAATCAACCATCCAAAAAGGTACTACAATTTGATCAATATTTCTAGTAAAATTAGTACAGATGTTGTAGTGCCAAATCGAGAACGCCGCCATACCTCAAACTCTTGGTATGGCTCCAGCCAACTGTAATTGGGATCGGTCGCGTGGAGAGACGCCAAGTACTGATAGAAGGATTGTCGGGTGCGGAGATGGCCCGGTAGATTGGTGGCGGCTATGGTTATGGATGCCAAGATTCAAACCCTAACACAGTAAGTTGAAATCAAAGGGTAGGTTTAGAAGTGTTATGCGCAAAGGCAAGGTTGTGGGATGAGCGGGGGTGTTACTGGGATCTCGAGCCCTGGGAGGAGACCGAGCATAGGAGAAGAAATGTCATTGGAGACGGAGAGTTGGTGGAGGATGAGAGGGAAATGACGATGGAGATGAGGAAAGGGGCGAGCTATAGGGTAAGTTGGGGCAATTTTTATAGGGGGCGGGGGGAACGCGTTTGTTTGTTTCTTTTTAGAAGGGAAAGCGCGTTTGTTTGTTGGAAGCACAAGAAAGTCATGTTTTAATTCCCTTCTTCTTTCTGTTTTTCCGCTGCCTTGATTAGAAATCTTTTATTGGTTCCAGCTTAGAATATATGCAGAGAGGAATGGTTTAGGGGATCTCATGATATGCACATACCCTAGTATTATTTGATTAAGAAAACAAAAGTATGTTCTCGTGAATCACAATTGGAAATATAATCTCTGATCAAATTTAAAGGGAAACCGAAGGCTCAAAAAAGCTACCAGGAGAAACTAAAATCACCTAGCTCCTTAATCCAAACAACTTATTTCTCGACGAAAACTGCTACAAGGTCCCACAATAAGGAAAGGTGATGATGTGCTTCACTTCGAGAAGAGCAGTGGCACTGTGGCAGCCTCCCATGAGGGTGCAAGAACAGCTTTGGAGAGAGCATCATTACAATACTCCCTCTATTTCTTTTCTTTTTACACCGCTGTCTAAAGTTGAACTCTCCAAAGTTGGATCAAATTTATATTAAAAATTTAACATTTGCAATACAAAATTAATATAATCAAATCCATCATGGAATATATGTTCCTTCCTATATGTTCATATTATATTTATTTGATGTTGTAAATCCTGATATTATTTAATTTAAATTTGGCCGAACTTTACGAATTTGACTTTAGAGAAATCTAATATGCATAGTAAAAAGAAAAGGAGGAAGTATATGGTGTAGTTCATGATAAGAGACAGAAAACCTAGTGAGACAAGGAAAAATCCGTCATTAAATTAACAAAAAAATCCCAAAAAGATGCTATAATCTTGGGAAAATGGAACCCGCCACCCAAACAAGTTCAAACAAATGTGTTTGAAACATAGGGAAACAAAATATAAACTGATAATAATGTGAGTACATGACTGAAAACATGTGCAGAGCATGATTCCGCCGGCCCAAATATAAGTCGTATTAGTTGTCTTCAAGTCAAACATAAGTTCGGCAGAAAAAAAGAGAAATACCAGCACTTACAATACCAAATAAATACACTACAAAAACAGGTGCATCTACTGATACTGATTGGGTATTGTAGGTGTTGATGTAAGTTCAAATTAAGACAAAACTAATATATATGACTCGTATTTTGGAAGGAGGGAATACATGATGATTTCATCGAGCACACATTGGTACAAAAACTAATAAGTTGATGATTGTGTACGTGCATTAGGTACAGATCACAACAACAGACTCAACTGTAAACAAGGCAAAGTGACTGAAGCAGATTTCAGGATTTTCACACCACCAGTGGCCGTTACTGTAACAATCTGCTCATTGGAGTTTGATTGGTTATTCTCATTCTGCTAACATTTTAATATCAGGCAGGAACATATTCACACAAGACATTGTTGGGCATGCTGTCATTGATTGATTTTTTCCCAGTAAAATCAATACAAATTTTGCTCCGCGCCAAGATCACAGGAAAGGTTTTTCATACAGTGCATCAACCCCTTCGATTGAGTTTACATCATGCTGCTAAAACTATCTTCAGCTGAATTTTCAGATGTCTAAGAAGAAAGAGTGGTCTGGTACCATGACCAGTAGTTTATCCGCAGGGGATCACATTTCTGCAGGATTGAGCAGACAGCTACTGCAATATCAGCATGTCCCGTTTCAGGATCAGAGTTCTCCATTGCTTCGATGGTTCCTTTAAGTTCATCCGAAGGCTGCAAACCCATGCGAAGAAGATCAAGCAGGAAGCTCAAAGCAAATACGCATTGCCAATCCTTATTCAGGACCTTGAGGCAAGCATCAGAAATGCGATTATCAGCCACCAGCAAATTGTTATCATCCTTATATAAACCTCTGAGGTATCTCCAGGGGCTTTCATTCTGAGGGTTCACCATAATGGCCTCAACAGTGTAATCTACTTCTGAGTCGCGCATTGCCGCAAGGCCCCCAAGAATTGGTGATCGTGTTACCACAAGGTATCTCTATTGCAACAACAACAAAAAACATACTTCAGTATAATTCTGAATATTTGGCCTTAATTCCTCGTCAGTAGAAAAAGGCACTCGCAAGGAAGAAGTTGGTTACCAGGTAAAACCAAAATCAATAAAAAGTTAATAAATCAAGAACAAGAATGGAGATTGCAAGGCTGTTTTGATGAAATTAAGGCACGATGATCCATGAAACTCTACCCATGGTGAAGAATCTGAAGTGAAATGACATATCATAAACACACAAGAAAGCATCCAAAGAAGGACAAGCAAATGACCTGATTCCAAGCTGAGTTATTGAAGACATCTTCCTCAAGAAGCTGGTTGCAGTACTGCAGTTCACTCTCCCATCCACCCAATGCTTGAAGAACCCACTGCAACAATTATAGCAAATCACTTAGATTATTATAACCAATATTCTCTTGGTACTACAATTGCTTAGTACAGCAGCCAAGCGAGAAGTAACAAGCTTAAAGGATACAAACATCCAACTTGTACTGAACATCAGAAGGAGGTAATGCATACCTGCCTATGGGACCAAGCATGGTAGTTTTTAGCATCCATAGCAAGTATCTTCCTTGTGAAGTCATGTTCACTATTTGCAGCATCTGGTCCTATTTTCTCAGCAAGCCATCTCTTGTGATGCCTGAGGGGAAAATATCCCTGGAGGGTTAGTTGGAATTTCACCACAGAGGAAGAAAAGAGTGAGTTTGAATTATGAAAGGATAAAAATATAAGCAAGTGGTAACTCATGCAGAACTCCACAGCCACCAAATAGGAGATTAGTTTCTTGTCAAACGCTTGATGTAATATTAAGCTTATTGCATGGGACTCACCAGACTTGGTAATTTTTTGGATTAGATTCAGCAATTTGGTCCACAAAATGCATTTCTAGCAATAAATCAGCATCCAGTGCCTCTAGAACAACGCGCCTGAAATGCCATACCTATCAAGCAGAAAAGCACCCACCAAGTTAACAAGAATAGCCACTAAAAGGATGGATGTGGATCCAAAGAAAATGCACCACGCTGGCTACAAAACAACGGCAAACTATACCGACAGAAAAATCAAACTCCAGCCACATTGCTCTGTCTTCCTACACTAAACTGGAAACCACAGAAATCGAATGGGCTAAACAGCGAGCCGGAACCCTCTTTCTAGAGTAGAGACTCCACTCTTACCTCTAAACAACGCCGCACCTACCTACTGCATGTTACACTAATTCGAAGCCTCGTCTACTAAACGTCACACTCAGCCATCCACCTACCTACTGCCTGTTACACTAATTTGAAGCCTCGTCTACTAAAAGCAAAGTTCTAAATAGCGCGAGATAGCACGCAATATCGGCGCTGTAGTGGCCAGGAAAGGGGCTGCGCTATGGTACGCTGCTAGAGTGCCTTCGCGCGCTAATAGTGTCGCTAAGAGTTATTTAGCGCTAAATTTCTGCATAGAAATAGCATTACCATCCCGCTTCGATCCAAAAAATTTAGCCCAAAATTGAAAGAGCCAAGTGGGCTAAAGCCCCAAAGTCGTTCCCGATAACCCCCTCCTCCCGTGGATCGAATCGAACCCTACCTCATTCCCCCCGTTCTTTGAAGCGAATGGCGGCGCCACTGGCGATGGGCGATGGCCACCGGCTGCGGACGCCGACGGCGCCCTGAGCAGCTCCCGGCTTCCCCTTCTCCCGGCCTCCCTTCCCCAGGTCGTCTGCATCCCCTCCCCCAAGTCGCCGGGCTCCTCTTCCTTAGATCGCCGCCGGACTCGACTCAGATCGCCGGCCTTGCCCAGGGCGCCGCCGGACTCTCCCACGGCCCTGCTGCATCAACTCCACTACTTCATCAATCATCATCCAGATCCGGCCTCTACTACCACCATGATCTCGCAAACAGATGGTAAGCTTTGGCAGTATGGGTTGATGTATGGATTGCAAATTTGTAGTGCACCACTAGGCGCTGTTACACCATCTCCTTTCAGTCAGCCTAAGATTTATTGACATCTAGTAAATCAAACTTCTTGATGCAGCACATGTCTTAATGCATAGTAGTTACCATGGTTTGTTTCAGGTCATTGAACATTAGTGCAGCCATGTGTCATTTTTTAGAAGGCAGTGTATCGTAAGCCTAGTTTATCGTTTTGCAAGGCACTACACACACACACACACCAGATTGATGTGAGCAAGGGTAGACCATTGTAGCAAGGCTAGTTTATTTGCTCAAAGCTCTGTCTTAAATTCTTCACTTCATAATTGACACGCAGATTGATGAATTGTACTACTGTCATGGAGTGGTGTATTGTAAGTGAGCAACTAGTGGTTAAGTGTTGCTTCCGTAACTAATTTTATTTCCTGTCAGTATCTAATTTATTTATTTTTGTATAGGTGTGGGTGGCTCAAGCGCTGCTTCCGTAACAGCACCTCCACCCGCTCAAGGTGTAGACTCAGATGATCCTGCGTGGAAGTATTGCGCTCTTGTAGATGTGAACAAGAAGCATTGGCTGAAGTGCAATTATTGTGACAAGATATGCACATCTGGTGTTACAAGGATAAAGTTTCACCTTCCAACCATCAAGAATTGTGGTGTCACAGGATGCCCGAAGGTTCCTAATGATGTCAGGCTGGAGATGGTAGCTTTGCTCCTAAAGAGTGCTGAGCTTAAGATCGAGGGATTGGAGGCGGTCAGAACTAGTGTTGACTTAGATCACTCAGATGGAGAAAACCAAATGGATGAAAATGATGGCAATCAGGTTGTGGTGTTGAGGTCAAAACCAAACACAAGCAGCTCAAGGGGTGGCCCTATGGACAAATTCTGCAAGCCTAGTATCGAAGAAAGTGTTAACAGGAATCAAAAAAGTAATTGTGAAACCCAAAAGGTTTAATCAAAGGTGTCCACTCAGAAAAGAGAAGAGAGGAGGAATAGAGCTTGTGAGTATATATGACGAATTTTCTATGAAGCTAGCATCCCATATAACACTGCCACACTTCCTAGCTTTCTGCTTATGCTTGAGGCCATCGGAGATTTCGGCAATGACTTGGATGGGCCTAGTGCATATGAGATGAGTGGACCGTTCTTGCAGAAAAGGAAGAAGATGTTGGATTTATTCAAATACCATAAGCAAGCATGGGAGCACACGGGGCGTACTGTAATGACAGATGCATGGACAGATAGGAAAGGCAGGGGAGTAATTAACCTTGTTGTTCATAGTGTTCAAGGACCCTTGTTTTTGAATTCAGTTGATTGCTCATCTGTAAAAAAAATGGCAAATATATTTTTGACCTTGTTGATGATTGCATTGAAGATATAGGGGCAGAAAAGGTTATTCAAGTGGTGACCGACAATGCTAGTGTCAATGTAGCAGCAGCAAGTCTAATGAAAGCAAAGAGACCTTCCATTTTTTGGAATAGCTCATTCTATTGATCTCATGTTGGAGGTTACAGGGAAGCTTGGATCGGTTGACAAAATAATTGCCCAAGCAAGGCAAGTAACTGTGTTCTTATATGCTCACACAAGGGTGTTAGCTTTGATGAGAAAACACTTGGGAAAGACTTGGTGCGCTCAGGCATTACTAGATTTGCCACGGCTTATCTCAATCTCAAAAGCTTGCAAGACAACAAGAGGGAAATGCTTAAACTATTCAGATCAGATGAGCTACATGAAATGGGTTACTTAGAGAAGGACAAGGGGAAGATAACTCACAAAGTGGTTAACATTGCTGTCAACTACTTTGAGCCAATGGCCAATGTGCTGAGAAGAATGGATAGCGATGTGCCAGCTATGGGATTCCTCCATGGTTGTATGTTGGATGCAAAAAAAGAAATTTCAGTGCTGTTTGATAATGATGAGAGTCGCTTCAAATGCGTTATTGATATCATTGACAAGAGATGGGATAGCAAACTCAAGTAGCCGCTACATTTGGCTGGATACTTTCTGAACCCCTTCTATTATTATCTGTTGGGCTGTGTCTTATCTGTATTTCAGTGTGTGTGTGTGTGTGTGCGCGCTTATGGCCCATGTGGCCCATGTGTCCCATGTGGCCCATGTAACCCTGCAGCCTATATATGTGCTGCCCCCTTGTACAGGAAACCCTAACTCCAATAGAATACAATACCAGGCCATCTTTCTATCCCAGCCGCCACCCCTCTCTCCCCTGATTCTACATGGTGTCAGAGCTTGGGTTCCCAATCCCAGCAGTGGTGATGGTGGTTGGCTGGTTGTGCTTGCTGGCGATTGTCTGAGAGGAGAAGGCTTGTGTGGAAGAAGGAGAGGTGGAATCCCAAATCTGAGGGGAGGAGGTAGTAGAGAGGTGAAAGTGGGGAGCAGTGGTTGCTGGAGGTTGCTAGTGGTGTGATTCAAGATTGGAAAGATGGGGGACAACCAGGGGTTGGTAAAGGTGTTGGAGAAGCTAGCTGAGCTCATCACTGTCAAGGCAGAGGGTGTGGCTTCCCCAGGTGCGCTTGTTCCTCAGCCTGAGGTGATACAGAAAATAGAACTGATGCCAAATGAAATCAAGATGGAAGGGGTCACAAACTACCTAAGCTGGTCCAGAAGGGCATTGCTAATATTGAGGACAAAGGGGCTGGAAGGCTATGTCAGAGGGGAAGTAGATGAACCGGCGAACAGGGCAAGTGAAGAGTGGAAGAAGTGGAGTGTCATTGACTCTCTGGTGGTGGCATGGCTGCTGAACTCCTTGACCCCATCCATTGCAGCAGCCGTGGAGACTCTTCCCCATGCAGCAGAGGTATGGAAAACCCTGGAAACATTGTACTCCGGGAAAGGGAACATAATGCTTATGGCGCAGATTGAGGATAGAGTAAATGAGCTAAAACAAGGGGATAAGTCGGTGATGGAGTATGTAGCAGAATTGCAGCATTTGTGGGCTGACTTAGACCACTATGATCCACTGGAGTTACCACATTCAGAATGTATAGTTGCTACTAAGAAGTGGGTAGAGCGTAGGAGAGTGATGAAATTCTTGAAGGGACTTAGCTCAGAATTTGAAGGAAGGCGTGCTGGGTTGTTTCATCAGCCAAAGCTCCCCTCGCTTGAGGAGGCAGTTGCAGCAATGGCACAGGAGGAGGTCAGGTTGAAGTTGACCAGGACTGGAGAAGCGAATGCATCTCGCTCAGCATTTACTGTGTCTGAATGGAAGGAGACAAGAGAGTGCTTCAACTGTGGAGAGAAAGGTCACATAAGCATCAATTGCATAGCACAACGCAGAGAAATACGTGGTAGGGGAAGAGGTTACAGCCGAGGTGGATACCGGGGAGTTAGAGGCAGAGGTAACTCGAGGGGTTCGAATTATTCCAGTGGCTTCAAAGCAAACTTGGCTAACTTGGCAACGCAAGAAGAAGGGACGTCAACAACCTCTCAAGGGGAGTCGAAGAGTAGAAGCCAGGAGGACAACACCTTCGGGAACTTTGCCCACTTTGTCTACACAGGGGAAGGTAACTTTGCAAATGCATCTATATCCACACATGATTTCCTTCCAGATTGGATATTAGATTCTGGAGCATCCAAGCATGTTGCGGGTACCTCAACTGAGTTTGAATCATATACTCAGTACCCAATTACACATTGTGAAACAATACAAACTGCTGATGGCACCTCACAACCGATTAAAGGAGTTGGATCAGTTCAATGTACACCCACTATTAAATTATCTGATGTATTACATGTTCCAGCTTTTCCTGTGAACTTGCTTTCTCTAAGTGCTTTGATTGATCAGATAGATTGCCGAATAACTCTTGATAAGAAAATATGTTTGATTCAGGAGAGGATGACTGGAAGGAAACTTGGGACAGGAACCAGGCGTAGTGGATTGTGGTATATGGATCGTGATGTGTCTAGGTCTGGTGCTAGTCCTATTTTGGCTGTACTAGTTGGAGTAAGTGAGACAATGGCGATGATCCATCACTGTCGCATGGGGCATATGGCTTTTGATAAGATGAGT